AACTGTGTTACTTCTGCAGAGGTGTGGGACAGGGCACAGCGACTCTCTTTCCCAACTTTGAATAACACAAAAATGGTGTATGTGGGTGTGCATGTGCACGTGGCTTGTGTGTGAAAGCATGGGCGAATTTTAGTTTATTTGTTTATAGTAGGCTCCATGCCCAGCACAGAGCCCAACAGGGGGCTTGAACTCACAACCACGACACTGAGATCAAGACCTGAGTTGAGATAAAGAGTTCGACGCTCAATCTACTGAGCTACCCAGGTGCCCCCTGAGTTTACTTCTTAAGTGTTTTCTATATTTAAGTAAAAGTGAATTGGGCTCTGGGGCGAAGAAAGGGTGTGTACTGCAGGAGGAGAGGCAACCCCCACTGTCCAGAGTGGGGAGCAAGGGGCTCTGTCACTGTCCTGAGACAACCCAGGACTGCGCGCTGCCCTGAGCTCAGACTGGGCTGGAGGCCCTGGTGGGTTCCCTAAGACGGTTGCAGAGCCCAGGTGGGGTGTGTGAAGTTGAGTCCAGGGCTTCAGCACTGCGGCCAGGGGACTTTCCAAATATTGTTCACAGCACTGAGGCAGAACTTCTGGGAGGCCCCAGGAGCCTTGGGCATTTGAATAGGGGAAGCAGTGAGCTGGGGAACACCTGGCTGCACAAACAGTGAGCTGTTAGTGTGCCTCACAACCTGCAGGCCAAGGGAGCAAGGCGCTCTGCTAAAGGGCTTCCCCAAGTGCACCCTGACCATTCCCCCAGCTCATTGCCCCACTCTTCTTCCCCGACTCTACCCCACCCCTGCCGTCCCCCGGAGGGTTACTGTGACCCAGGAAGGGTGGGAGGGGCTGCAACCCCCTTTCCAGCCCACCTTCCCTCTGATAGGAAGGAGGTGGGAATCTCCAAGAAACTGTCCAGCACCCGCATTTGCACCAGGAGTGTTGTGTTTTTGTGGTTTGTTTTGATCTAGACTGTTCAATGGGTGTTAGACTTCAAAAGAAGGTGGCAATCTTAAGACTCCCCTACATCTTACCCCAGAGAGGGACCCTTGGAAGTCTGGCCCTTCCCAGGCCTGAACACGGTTCAGCACATTCCTGGAAGCATCAGCCTTACTCCCCTGCCCTCTCCCTCCAAAGTCAGAGAGGTCGCTGGTACCAGTGGAGGAGAATCACCGCTCCCCCACCCCCCCAACCTCACCCCCCTCCACGACACGACACACGAAGGCCAGCGACAAAGAAGACAGAGGCGGACAGAGGCTGCAGCCCACTCAGACTTTATTCAAAGATCAGGAAGTTCGGGTCAAAGATCAGGAAGTTCGGGTGCCCG